GGGCAAAATCAAATTGGGAATGCAAAAGACTCCAGAAATAAACAATGAAAACAAGAAATATACCGATATGTATATATATATATATATATATATAGAGAGAGAGAGAGAGAGAGAGCTCACATCATATTCACAATCCTCTGCCTAGAATCAGCTGACAGCTCTGTCCTCCAATCGTTAGCATCTGATAGAACTAGATTACCCTCGTCTTGAGCAGGCATCCAACCACCGTTATCCATGCTTTTCAAAAACCCAAAAATAAACATAAATATTGTATAAAATCTCAAGAACTAATCTTTTATTCCCCAGTGACCTAAACAAGAGAAAGATTATCAGTATTCCAGCCAACTCTCAGGGCTTGAAAATTTCAAGAAGCCAATAATGTTCACTTCCCCAGAAAGGAAAACCCAATTCCTGAACCCAAGGGCTCTAAATATTGAAAAGCCTTAACAACCTACAAACGTGGTCTTCTCTATTCCTTAAAAAACTCCAATTTCAAATCCAAAGAATCTCAAAACTACAAAATTCAGCAGCTCAAGATCCTTTCTCCTCAATGGCCCAAAAACGAAAACACGAAGTTTGCAATTAGAGGGAGTTTAGAAGATTAAGAGAGAGAGAGAGAGAAAGAGAGAGTGAAAGATAGAGAGAGAGAGAGTGAGAGAGAGAGTTGAGTAATTGAGAACTGAGAAGTGACTGTTAAGATTGGAATAAAGTTGTTACTGTTTCAAACAAAAAGAGAGATGGGTGGTTGACTTGGGCCAATGTAAAAGGACAGTAAGAAAGAAGTATCAGGATAAATGCTCTCGCAGGAGCACATTGTATACTTATTCCCTCAGGATCCAATCGCGAATGAATTGCCAATGTTATAAGATCCTTATTGTTGTTACAAAGAGGTCATCATTGTTGATAGCCATGAGACGTTGAATGGTAGCCATTCCAGAATTTCTTTTCTGAGTGATTCGGTAGAGACTCTAAAGTTTTAGATAAAATACGAAATGCTCTACGTCAACCATTTTTTTTTTCAAAATTGCCCCTCACTTAATTTGAATTTTGATTTTTTTTTTTTAATATTTTTGCTTTCTTTAAGTAGGGCAGTGCCATAAAGCTTGGGGGACTATCCTACTTCAAAATCCAAGTTGATCGCGGGCAATTTTGGAAAAATATAAAAAAAGTGGGTTGACGACCCTCTTTGTAATTTTCGGAGCATTTGTATTATACCTAAAATTTTAGGGTTAGTAAGTCACTCTTCTTTTTTTTTTGAATTTTGAATTTTTATTTTTGCTTTCTGTAAGTGGGACAGTGCCATAAAGCTTGGGGGACTGTCCTACAAACGAAAAATCAAAACCGAGTTGATCGTGGGCAATTTTGGAAAAATATAAAAAAAGTGGGTTGACGACCCTCTTTGTAATTTTTGGAGCATTTTGTATTTTACCTAAAATTTTAGGGTCAGTATGTCACTCTTCTTTTTTTCTAAATGTTAAATGTAATCAACATATTTTCTATATATCAAACACGAACAAGTGACTAGATGTCCATCAAGAAGTTCATCTTAGATTGGGAGTTTGGTAAGTGTGCCCACGTGTCCATCTATCAATAACATACAATATAGATTAATTAGATAGGTCCAATAGAACTAATGCCAACAAAATAATATAAAAGTTGATTTTATGTGCCAAAGGGTGTATGATCTCTCACAACAAACTTTTACTAAGAACTCAAAATTTAATTTTTTTTTTTAAAATACACTTCTAAAAATAGATCCCCATATTTACATTAAATACTATTGGTAGAGGTAGTTTTCTTGATGGACAAAATATACAATGTGTCCTTATGGGTGCACTTTAGAAAATACTAGTGTTATGCACGTGCGTTGGATGTGGTATAATTTACTTAAAAAATAATTGTTATTATGAATCACCATCACCACCATTATTATAATTACTATTAGCTTATTGAATAAATAAAATATTTATTTTATTTATAGGTATTATTTAATAATATATTTATCTTATTTATAGATATTATTAAATAATATAAAGTAATCAGGTATAATGAAATAACACCGATGCCACAATAATAGATTCAAACAATTGATAAAATAGTAGAAAGCTAGCTTTCTTTCTTTATTTATTTTTAAATATTCATAATTTTAATTATAAATGATCTAAAATTAATATATTTAAGTTCAATAAGATGTAAATTATTGAATAAGAATTTAAAAAAAGAGATGAGTTTCTATGGATTGAAAATAGTACTGATTTACAAATTTATTATAATAAAGCCATCTAAAAAAACGGAAACGAAAAAAAAATGGACAGCCTACGTTAATTGCATTAAAAAAACACTTTCTAGATTGCGTTTTCAAATTTTTCTTTTTTGTGATTGTTCATTAGAATGAAAAGAGAGTATATTTTAAAATTATGATCAAACAAATGGCCCTAACATAGTTTTTGAAGATTGTTGCATTATATTATTATACAATCGTCGCATGAAATCACTGGCCATATATATATATATATATATATATATATATATATATATATATATGTCCTTTTCTATTATACTACTATAGAACCATTGTATGAAATCATTCCCCCATATATATAGGGTAGTGATCTAATGCAACGATTGTATATAGTATAATGCAACCACACTTCTAAAAAACCATGTTTGTGGTATTTGTATGATCCAAAATTTTGCACACACACTCTCTTCATCTCAATAATCAGTCCCAAAAAAAAAGTTCGATTTGAATCCTAGATATGGTCAAAATGAGGCACCTCCAACAACGAATCTAGACAATTCATTTTGTGAATTTCATGATCTTAGTCTTTACAAACTCAAAATCATTTTTTTCTTTGTTAATATTGTTCATCTAATGTTAATAAAGTCATCTAAAAAATTGGACATGAAAAAATCCTCCTAAGGCCTAGATCTAAGCTTCTTATCAAAATGGACGGTCTATGTTAATTGGGCTTAAAAAAACCTTTATAGGTTGCGTTTTCAATTTTTTATTTTTTTGTTATTGTTCATTAGAATGAAAAGAATATATACTCTAAAATTTGGATCAAACAAATGACCCTAACATGGATTTTGAAAATTGTTACGTTATATTACAATACTATTGTTGCATGAAATCATTGCCCATATATATGTATATATATATATACACACACACATATACATATGCATATATACAGATACCTATACATATACATGCAAACACAATGTTTCAAAAAGCGCTAGGCGACATCTAAGCGGTCGGGGGAGTCGAGGCCGCCCAACGTCTAGGCGGGCACCCAGAACCTGGGCGGCCTAATAGATTTTTTTTTTTTTTTTTGGGTTTTCTTTGTCTAAAATAGACTCTAATGGGCTTTAGGTTTCAAATGAATTTAAAATCCACAATTTTACCCCATTAGTATTAAAAAAATGACCCAAAAATATTATCAGGGAGCCGCATTTTCGCCCTTGGACGGGGCGCAAGCCTTGGGCGGCCACTTAAGAGGGTTCAAGCGGGCGCCTAGGCGGGTTCCCGAGCGCCTAGGCCGGCGCCCAT